CAAAATTATGTGTTTGTATATTAACATCACGAATATTACAAACATGAAAACTAATTTGCATTTATGAATAATATTCTCTATTATCTGTATTTCTGAGAGTAAGAAAAAATAAATATTGCTGTCAGAATTTCACTTCTGTAACCTTAAGAATAGATCTATTTCTCGCGGTTATTTTATTGTACCATTCAATTAACAGCAAGAAGTAGAGTCCTTACTGAAAACATCAGTTGGTCAAGAAACTCCTGATTTCTCATAGAACTCAAAGGTTCATTATGCTCACAAGAGTCCCGCTATACGAGACCCCGTGTAATATTTCTAACAAGTGGGCGGACCACCACTTGTCATGAACCTTTCGTACCTGGAGCCCATCTCCTCCAAATCCGGGCACGCGCCGTAACATTGTGACAACGGGCACACTTGAAGCGGTAGTGTACTGTATATATGTTCCATCGTTTTCTTGATTTTGTTAATTTACATCCATCCATCCATCCATCCGTCCGTCCGTCCGTCCGTCCATCTGTCCGTCCGTCCGTCCATCCATCTCTCCGTCCGCCCGTCCGTCCATCCTTCCACAGCCCTTGTGAACCTTGGTCGCTTTTCAGTTTATTAATCTTACACAGTCGATAGGACTCCTTGGATCGGGAATAAGCCCGTCGCAAGGCCGCTATCTACACACAGAACAACACAAACATAGAATATACGTACACAGACAATCATGCCTCGTGTGGGATTCGAACCCACGATCCCAGTGTTCGAGCGGGCGAAGAAATTTCATGCCTTAGACCACGCGGCCACTGTAACCGCCCACGTTATGAGCTAGTTCTTATAGATTAGGTCTGATTCCCTAAATAGATAAACAAATCGACTAGTTCAATTTCCGCTTTGTTATATTTCGACACTTGGGAAATAATTTCTTGTGTTTCCATATAGTAAACATTATAAACATTGCACGACTTTCTGCCTGTCATATTCTGATGTTACCGTAACTGCTTGATTAAGTGAGGGCTGCTCAGATGCGCACGCACTTCAGCTCACGGGACTGGACACCACAATTACAAGCATTTATAATTCAATCACTGGAAGATGCGGCTTAAAACAGAACAATGTGTCAATTAAACTCTATTTACAGAGTTGCATCGGACTGACAGTAAAATACTGTGGCATTGTTTGCGACCTGTGGGCAGATCGTTAGCGGAATGTACTTGTCAGCGACTTCTTAATTAAGTCTTCAAGAAAACGTGACGTCGGGTGTGTTGCAGAAACAAAGGACGTCGTCAGAACTTGACCCTTAATTTGAAAGTTAATTCTTACCGTGGGTGTCAACTCCTAGATGCTGCTGTTTCACGACTGCATTTATTTTACACCACGCGTACTTTGTAACCAGCACTCAAATTCATGCGTGACGGTAAGGGCGTGTATGTCCATCATGTAGAATTGCTTTCACTCGTCTCATACATGGGAGATTACTGGCTTACTTTTAGGCATTCCGGAGTTCGATAATACCCTTAGTTATTCTAGGCAATTGACCGCCTCTGTGATCAAGTGGTCAGAGTTCCTGGTTACATATCCAGAGGTGTGGGTTCGATTCCCGACGTTATCAGATTTTCTGAGAAGTTGAGAGTCTGGAACCGGATTCAGTCAACCTCGTGAGGATTATTCGCTTAGTGGGGGGTGGAGTCCAACTGGGTGCACTCGGCACGGCGGCCACTGATTGGCCTATTGTAGCCTGCCCCCGGTGATTATGAAGATGGAGAATTTGGTTGAATGAAGATTGGCAGGGGAAACCAAAGTACTCGGAGAAAACCCGCCCCAGCGCCACTTTGTCCACCACAAATCCCACTTGACCAGAACCGGGATCGAACCCGGGTTGCTGCGGTGGGAAGCCAGCGACTAACTGCTTGAGCTATGCTGCGGCCGCCTCGTGAGTATAATTGAGGAGATATTTCAAGGAATTAGGGGCTCCGGTCTAGAAAACCGAAATTAACGGCCGTGGGGATTCGTTGCACTGACCACGCGACACCCTCTATCCTCTAAAGTTGGCACTAATTTCGCCGACAAGCGGCGGTAGCTCGGTCGGTATAGTTCGCTTGCGGACTCAGGCCACGGAGGTTTCTTTATTCCACGAAAATTATAGATCTCTGATCATGCTCTTCTTAGTCATCTTGATCCGTCATTTAGACCATGAACTTACGTTAAGACACGTATATAACCAATATCGTATACAGAAGGACAAGATTCTTAGATGAACAGGAACATACGCTTGGGACTTGATTCCTTCAAAGTGTTTCTGGGTGTCACACCACGTCGAATTGATACACTGTGTAGACCCTTCGGAAGATCTTACACTCTCCTTTTCTTCAGGACACATATGACGGAAGTGTTATATCCTAACCGTTCGCTTCAATGCATACCAATCAGTTTCAGACATTCTCATCCATGATATGTACGTAATGTAATGCGAGCAGCCAAAAAGGAAGGACACATCACAAGACACAGTACACAAAAAATATAGGAAAAACGACCCCCATAGTAGAAGAACCATACTATACGCGAGTTTGAATTAAGACGCATAAGATGAATAATCTTAACAAGTTTTAGTGTATACAAATTTTATTATAGTTGATGAAGAATGTACATTTTAATAATTTTATGAAAGACACATGATGGCAAGCAATGCAATAGCTTAGCGTAAATAAAGCACCTGAGGATGGCACAGTGTTGCCGAAACATGTAGTGAAGTGACATGTGAAATTGAGTGCACTACAAGACGGCCATTACATACGTATCATGGATGAGAAACAGTGCAACAGGACGCTAAAATACAACATTCAGACATTCTGTTATGCGTATATAAACACGATATTAATTTGAATTTTAAGAATTATATGACTTGTTTCATCTGTACTTTGGTAGCTATCTCCATTTTTATATAGTAAAACATAAGAATGAACAAAAATTTTCTTATATTTTAATAGCATTTTTTTACTGGCTGATATAAAGACACGGTTTCAACTGAAAACATCTCATGGTTTCAAAAGAAAAACGAAAGAAATACACAAATTGTGACGGTAATAAGATTGTTTGAGGAATCGGTTGTGGCCTATATAGACCTCTTGTCCCTGAATTTGCTTGTGGAGACGGGCGTGAATAACCCACTGGAAGCTTTAATAACTTCAGGCGGTCTTCTAGCAGATGTTTGAACTTGGAACATCCAGAATTCTGAACAGTTGTGATACCCACCATACAGAATAATATTCGGTTGAACATTTTTTGAAGCTTGGCAATATAAGTTTTTCGACGAATAATATTTTTTTTTATAGGTCTTGCTCAACTCAACCTTACGCCATTCTCTTGACTAACTGAATGTACCCGAGCAACAGTGATGCTTACACGAATTGCAGCCTCTGCTACGCCTCAACTTAGGTCACGGAGAGGGCATTTCATTCTTCAGTACATGATACCGTGTGAAGAGTACTCTTTTCTGATATATATCGTCATGAGTCTTTTGAAAGTCAACCGACGTTTCAGAGGAACATTTCACTTTGATCTTCAGGGTCAAAGAATAAACCGAGTAAGATACCAGCAGGAAAGCAGATTGCAAGCAGGACGATATGTTCCTCCGAAACGTCAGCTGGCGGCATTATACCCCAGAAGATAATACTCGTCATAACCACTGTTGTGAGTACCTCAGATGCTAATGATACCATGTGTTTACAGGAATGATTTCATGTCAATTTCTTCACTCCTCTTTGCTGTCATCAATGTGTAATTTCCCCCTTATTAGTTTAGAATTAGGAACTTTAGTTTTTCTTTTTCCTTGGCACTACAGCCCCAGTGGGCCTAGGCCTACCTCCATGAACTTCTCCGTTCACTTCGGTTTTTCTAGATCTTTCACATTCTGTAGGACTCCTTGGGCTGGTGATCAGCTCGTCGCAAGGCCTCTACCTGTAGACAAACACAGAAAAACGCGCACAGACATCCATGCCCTGAGTGGGAGGAACTTTAGTTTACTTAAATATATTTGTTGCTACTTGGCCTATTATTATTAATATTTAAATGTACGTATGAAATTTAATACACTCCTTATACATACACATATATTCTAAATTTTATACATCACTTAAAGTCACAACATTTATAAAAACAAAAGCAACAATTTTGTTTCATTGTTAAACCTTTACTTACAAAGGTAAAAAAAAGGTAAAATTATCCCCATGCTTAATTATTTTTTTTAAATTCTCTTAGTGGGGGGTGGAGTCTAGCTGGGTCCACTAAGCACGGCGGCCACTGATTGGCCTATTGTAGCCTGCCCCGGGTTATTATGTTTATCGAGNGCAGGGGAAACCGAAGTACTCGGAGAAAACCTGCCCCAGCGCCACTTTGTCCACCACAAATCCCACTTGACCAGACCCGGCATCGAACCCGGGCCGCCGTAANATGGGAAGCCAGCGACTAATCGCTTCAGCTATGGCGCGGCCTTATTTAAGAATTTAGTTTGGTTCTCAGGAAAGAAAAATTTGTTTTCATTGCCACCCAAAATTTCTAATGGATGAGCAGTATGTCATGTCGAGAGTTGGGACAAAGTGTTAAACAGGCCTGTTATCCACATTTACCTCATACAGGATTAACTTCAGTAAATGTTTTGTTTATAAAACTTGAATCCGTTCAAATAAGCCACATATGAAATATATTTGATAACTTACCTGCTTCTGTAAACAGTTTGAAGTTACTGTGTCTGTACGGTATAGGTTTGAAGATCTATTATTATTATTATTACTATTATTATTAAGCTGCCCATTCATTTCTATGCAGTTAATGGCCAGATTATACATATCTGTTATGACAAATTACATAAACCGTTATTTTTATAACTTTCTGTGCGTGTGAATACAGATGTAGCACTCACTATCGGACTAACTACAATACACACCAGAAGAAAGAAATCTCCATCTTTTATTTCTTTAACCGAATGAAGAGAGCACAAAATGGGGATGTCTTACCTCTCTGCCCATCTTTCAGCCTAGACGAATTTCGATGAAATTCTGCTTTGCTTGCTTACACTGAAATATGTAGGTTGAATTTAATTTCTGTCCATATTTGTCCAGCACATCCTGTAACACTTATGCACACGCCTTGATTTACATGATGCTCACGTCGGACATCACAATATTTCTCAAAATTACTCGTAAACATTTGGTACATGATATAAAACGAAGACTTTGAAATATACAACTTCCATTTGAAACTTTTTGTTCTATATACTTTTAATGAACCACAATTCACTTGCTGTACAGTGCAACTGCTTTACAACGAGTTGTTTCTGCGCATGAAAAATATGAAAGAACGCAACTGGCGAACGGTTCTTTTCAGTTTATCCAGAGGAGCAAATCCTTTCACACTGGACTGTTCTACATTTTCAAACAGAAGTTTAAACAGTCATGTATTAGTAAACAGCGCATAAGCCCCAACCGGGAAGTGGGGAGGTGAATCGGTCGGAGATTAGGTAGAAAGCACTGTGCAGCAGGGCGTACAAACATCAGCACACCTTACTTGGCTTCACGACTAAGCAAAATCCTAATGACGAAATAAACATTTATGAGCCAGTCAAACATGGTGTACAAAAATTGCTGTCGTTACTTGCATTCATAACAGGGAGTTTAGAGTGTAATTTTAACATGTTTGATGTTTCTTCAGTTGTCCGAATTTAATTGCATCTTATAGAAGTGATGAACTTGACCTTTGCTTTTTAAGTTCGATGCACGAAGTACATAGAACGAACTCGTTATATTGAGGGGAGGGGGCGTGTCTTTCTGTGTGTCTGCAGGTCTCATCTCCAAGGCTACAAAATTTCGTTTTCGGGGAATGCATAATACGATTGTCGGGCGAATTTTATTCTGCATGAAGATCATATGGAAATTAAAATATTTATCAAAATTGGCCCATTTTGTCGGAAATAAGTGATGTCACTATTAAGGGATGTGTGATTATAGACGGGGTATGTATTGGATATTGGATTTATTGACGCACTTTGTATACATCACTCGGAACTACAAATAACTACAGCGATATCGCTGATCTCTATACTTTACAGATCACTAGCGCACGTTAAGCCTTCTCAGCTTGCTTTCACTAGTCGTTTCCTGGTAATGGATCTTAAAAATGGAGATTCTTCATCTTCTGTGTTCACGTCTTTACTGTCTGGCTAATATTCCGCAAATGAACTCTCTCACTCACCAACCAACCAACCAACCACTTCACTTCACTTCACTTCACTTCACTTCACTTCAATTCACTTCACTCAACTCAACTGTAGTGCCATACCTTCTCAGCCTTCCTTGAAGTGCTGGTGGCCATTGCACACCAACTTCCTAGTCTTATCTTCACGGGCTGACTTTCAGCTGACAACTAAACTAGTCAACTAATTGTCTTCATCATAACTCTTCGGCGCGGACCACATTCAAAACACCGCACTTCTATTGTTGCGCGCATGTTCTTTTCCGCAGGAACTTGTTTACCAAGCCGTTGTTTAGAAACGGGTTGCATAACCTCATTGTTCTACTGTGCGTGCGTTTATGTTGCGTTCGTTACATAGCAACGGCCGGTGTGTACAGGAACACCGCTTAGCAACAGGTCTGTCTATAAGTCACAGTACATAATTTTAAAAGCAGCTTGTAGTGCTTTTTGTGAAATTTGAGTTTTCATGGCTGTAAATATGAAGATGACATCTCCTGCATATTAGGCGTGTAGATTTACAGACAGACGTATTTCGAAGCAACCTGCTACCTCCATTCTATGCAAACTAGCGTTCTGCCGAACACTGTCTTCTCACCTCTTCCACTCAATAATGCTAACGTACAGATCATCAAATAACTCCGAGCGCGTAAATTAAAAGTGGCCGGTCACTGTAGTCGAGCGGTCTAAGACATCCACGATTTTCGCTCGTTCTGAAGCCGGGATCGTGGGTTCGAATCCCACTCAGGACACGGATGTTTAGTTGTTTGTGTGTGTGCGCGCGCGTTTTTCTGTGTTTGTGTACAGGCAGAGGCTTTGCGACGAGCTGATCACCCGTCCAAGGAGTCCTACCGAATGTCTAATATACAGTAAACAGAAGTGAAAAGGAGATTTTCATGGAGGGAGGCCAAGGCTCAAATTAGGGCTGTAGTGCAAAAGAAGAAAAATTCAAAAGTGTTCAGGGCTAAGCAAGTGCCTGAAGACGTTAGTGGCTGCCAGCCAGTTGCTAGGGACCATGTTTAAGCCGCTATAAAACTTAAAAAATTAGTGTAAGGAAGCATGTCCCGTACTGAATATCGTGATCAATAACTTATAAACAATGGTTTTATGGTGAGAATTTGGTCATTCTTTGCAGAAAAATTATTGAAGCATTGTGCACTATTTTACTTATAAATTCATATAAAAAACAAACTCTGTGGCCTGTAGTACGTAAGTGAACTATACCGACCGAGCTACAGCCGCTTGTCGGCGAAGTTAATGTCAATTTTAGCGGATAGAGGGTGTCTCGCTGTCAGCGCAACGAATGCACACGGCCGTTACTTTCGGGTTCCTAGACCGGAGCCGTTATTTCCATTCACAGTAGCTCCTCAATTATCCTCACGAGGCAGAATGGACCCCGTTCCAGACCCATCACTTCTTAGAAAATCTGGCAGCGCCGGGAATCGAACCCGGACCTATGGATCTGTAGCCAGGAACCCTGACGACTAGACCACAGAGGCGGTCACTTATAAATATCTACAACGTTTTATATAACATGTCCTACTTAGGTTGAAAAATATTGTCGAAAATTTCTCCTTACAAAATCAAAATCCAAAACTCGTTGCAGTGCATTCCTTCGCCCACAAATCAGTGGGAAACCAATAAAGGCCAATTGGATAAGAAGGCATTCCGCGGCCATCAAATTATGCCAAAGGGTGAAGAGGTTTACAATAATCTGCATCAAGGAACTAGTAGAATAAAACGCAGTCTGGGGTTGGAATAGGAATTTGAAACTTAGTAAATACATATAAAATATTGATACAAAAAAGCTTATTTTATTTATCAAAACATTACAAAAATTTGACTAGAAAAGAACAAGAACCTTTTTACAGTACTACATTCTGAGAGTAACACGACAGTGACCACACAGTCCTTGAGCGTTCTATGTACACACTTTATAGCAGACAGAAGGAATCGTTAAGAACCAAGCCATATGAATATCAAAGGAAAAATGATCTAAGTACAACATGGCCTATGTATTATAAATGATATGAGAATGAGAAAGAAAAAAATGTGTTCTGTAATGACATGGTGTGGAGTAATTTACATGCCATCTACATACGAATTTGTAAATAATTGTTATAATAAAAATATTCGGATTTCTGAACAACAAGAACATATTTACACAAATACCCTTGTTTGATAATGTGCTGCTTGAATACAGTTCCATAACTTAATTAGCTTATTCATGTATATTATATAAAATTGTGAATGTTAAATATTCTTAGCTTCCACAAACCATATTTACACAACTAAAAATGATTACACCTGCTGTAAATTAATGTGTTTTAACCCCTTTGCTGTCAAACTAAAGCAAATTTGTTTTTGAATTATGGAGCCTCTCACAAAAATCTAGAAGAGAAATCTGTTTCCAGTTTGTTCAGTATTGTTTGCCACAGTAACCACGAATTTGATCGTAAACTCCTGAACATCTGAACTTAGCACCAAATTCAAAGAACAGAACTCGAGTTAAAATATACAAAATTTCTCTATAGGTAAACATTTGAAATATAAAATGAATAATTTCGAAAGTAATTCATCTCGGAAAACTTGTCAACATAAAAACATAACAGTGGAAGGGGTTAAAAAGTGTGGCTGAGGATTAAGTGATCAGCCAAATCAAGAACTACTTCATATATATTTACAATAAACATGAACTTCAGTTTGTACTATTATACAGTGAATAGACGCTCCCTCACTCCATTCCGTTGGTCTTCAAGAAACAAGCATAAGACTCAGGCAGACTTATGCATATTATCAACATTTCGTATTGAGTCTGGTTATTTAACGTCTATTTTCATCTGCATAGACATTAGAGGGTGGATTAAATGAATTATTGTAATTGACGAAATGAGAAGAATTTGGAGGTAAGTTGTCTCGGCCTGTTTTAATGCACTATCGCAGCACTTGCAGTGACTGCTGCACCGGTGACGGACCGCACAGGTTCAAGACACTCCAGTTTATGTTTCCGTGACAAGGCAACGCGTCTGGCGATACCTGCTGAAAAACTGGATTCATGTCGTGAGGTTTGAGGTTCTCACAGGAGTCCATAGTTATTGCACAGACTGGGTATAGCGCCATGTCGGCTTTCATAATATTGTTGACGTCTCGGACTAACTTTTCGCCTCCTTCTTCACGGTCAAATTGATGGAACGGGCAAGTTTCTTAGAAACATCTGTATAATCTGTATAATTTCGAAGCGGTGCTACATCCGATAGACACTACAGGTAACAAAAACAGTACACTGACTGCTGTCATAGCAGCTGACGGTTTTTTAAAATATGATTTTTTTTCCGTTAATTAATTGGTATTTAGCCGGCAAAATATGAGGTCTCAGAATTAAGAAAAATCGCACCGATTACCCAAAACAAACACACTCACACTGATCTTCAGAGAGCGTGGTCACCGTCTCAAATTGTACACGTTTCTCAACCTCTCTGCTAAGCCTGGAAACATGATATTCTTACGAAAGTCCTATCAGTATCGCTGTGAATGTCTGTAAATCGTTAAAAATGAAGCCCTTTTGAAGAAACGTTTAGTTTAATCAGCATGAAAATATCATGAGCCGCGCCATAGCCCAAGCGGTTAGTCGCTGGCTTCCCACCGCGGCGGCCCGGGTTCGATCCCGGATCTGGTCAACTGGGATTTGTGGTGGACAAAGTGGCGCTGGTGCGGGTTTTCTCAGAATACTTCGGTTTCCCCTGCCAATCTTCATTCAACCAAATTCTCCATCATCATAATCACCCGGGGAAGGTACAATAGACCAATCAGTGTCCGCCGTGCCGAGTGGACCCAGCTGGACTCTACCCCCATTAAGCGAATTAAAAAAAATTAAAATGTCATACGGAACATATCAGGCCAATATGGTACATTCTTCAATAGAAGAGAAATCTTTTGGTTAGTCTTCAAACGAAAAGAATGTTTTAACTGAAGAGATGTGTGTGGAATATATTATCTTCACGATGAAAATTTTATTTGTTCCGCCAAAGGTTTGTTTTTCTCGACATATTGGTTGCCATAAATGTTCCAAAATATATACAGGATGTTTTGTTCACTTCACTGTAGACGAGCAAGTTCGTAACAGATAGTTCCATTCGTCTTGAAAAGCCTGTCGACCGTGGTTTTGTTATCCGCATAAATTTCGAGCCGTAGGTTCTGGAACGTTCCACTTTAGACTGTGTCTGGATCGTTCTAGAAAACCCAAATTCCTTGCAGAAAATCAGTATTAATTTTAAATCTTGCCGAGAAAACAGAGCCCATTTATTTTACTATTTTACAAAGAATAAAAGCACTGCGGCAATATAACATTTACTGCAACAAAAGTTCAATTTCATTCGTGAAATTTAATTTACTGTACCTTGAATATCAGGTTCATTAAAAGTTATTATTTATTTCCCGATTTAAAGCGAGATAATGATTTATTTTAATCACTTTTTCATTGGAAGTGTGAAATGGAATGCTGTCAATATGCATATTTAATCTAATTGCCTTATTTTAAAAACTTAAACCCAATGGTTGGTTCGTGTTGCCATGTAATCCATCTAAGCGAAGTTGGCAGTCCCTGCACAAATACACCTGTCCGGTTATTTATTTGTCAGATTTCGCATAGATTGAGTCCGCTAGAATTATATTCTTTGCACGCCATTCTAATCATGGGTAACTAAGAAAATAAATCATTCGCGGTACCGTTGTTGGTTGAGGTGCTATGCTACAAGCCGGAAGGTCGCGGGTTCAAGACCCGGTGAGGTCATTGGATTTTTTCAATTGACCTAATCCTTCCAGCCGCACTATGGCCCTGGGGTCGACCCAGGCTCTAACAGAAATGAGTACCAGGAATTAATTAAATAATTTTCCTGAGGAGTAAAGCGCGGCAGGCACGTAAGGATGATAACCTTACCGCCATCTTTGAGCCGATTGTCTAGATAATGTGGGACCCTCAATGTCTCATAGCCCTATGGCCTTCACAGCCTGGTACACGGATAGCTTTACTTTACTTTTACCATTTGAAATAATAAGTTTGCACCATTCTACCGGTCACTCACATAGTACAAGAATTAAGAGTTATAAGATTGTAGGAATAATTGCTATTTCGTGCACACAACTATCGGCGGCTAGCATTGTCACTCCGTTTCTCGATTCTGAGATGCAATTTAAAATTCCCATTGATTCTGTTAGGGAAGATGGCGAATGTTATCTTTGCTTTTGAAGAGTACCACAGTTTATTTAGACATCCCAAGGAAGAAAAATTGCTTCTATCAACATTGTGTCAATCCGTTAACACTCTGGTGTTACAGGATTAGTTCCTGAAGAATGCCCTCTCCTGGGATGTGGTGCAGTGTAGATATTTTGTTAATGAACATTTCGGAGGAACGTATCGCCTCCATCTTCAGGGTATAAGAAATCCGCGAGCGATGAACCAACGTGAGCAGGTGTCTGTAGACTGATTTGTTATACCCTGAAGATGGAGGCGATATGTTCCTTCGAAACATCTGATAACAAAATAGCTACAAGGCGCCACACACCAGAAGATGACATTCCTCATAGTGACCGACCTGAAAACCTCAAATCTTATATAGGCTTAGTCCAATCTCCTTCTACATTTAGCTCAATAACTATATTAAAATAAATCTTATTTATTGTGCATAATGCTCAGAAATCGAAACGTTCTGAGAGACTGAATGGCGACGCCTATTGCAGGAGAAATTGACTTCACAAGATGTCGCCTCTCTCATATAACACAAATTTATTTTACATTTCTTATAACAATTAGAACTTTTTTTTTAACGACATTTCAGGATCTATTTTGAGCAACATATATCCTCAGGAATGTAAAAAACACTGAGCTCAAGGGTGATCGAAAAGAACGGGAGTTCATTTACCGGCCGAAGTAACACAAATATTTGCTTGAACTGAACCAATGCGAGTTAACTGCAGCAGGGCTGCTCCGTGAATGAGCGCACTAGGGAACTTGTATTAATAAGCACATACCTTACATTTGTTCCCCTGATTAAGTAAATTATTTGTCTTATTTTTGTATATCAATTCATATAGCGTGTCCTGAATATCTGCGATCCGGAAGCCATACAGCCGATGGGCTGCACACATAGCAGTGAAGCCGTGACGCTATATCGCTGAAGGACGGCTCATCCTTCTCTTTTATATAGGGTCCTTTAAATCAGATGTTACTTTGAACGGAAATGTAATTAAATTAAAAGTATTCTTTGCGTAGGTTATATGGGATACGAACTATTTTTTTATTGCTATTGGGGTGGGACTAAGTCCCTTGTATTGCGGCCACTTCTGGACTATTGTACCAGCCCAAGATAATAGGTGAGGGTGATTGTGGAGCAATTGGTGGAATGACGATTGGCAGGGCAAACCGAAGTACTCGGAGAAAACCTGCCCCAGAGCCACTTTGTCCACCACAAATCCCACTTGATCAGACCTGAGATCGAACCCAGGCCACCGTGGTGGGAAGCCAGCGACCAACTGCTTGAGCTATGGCGCGGCCCTGAGATATCAAATAACAGGCCCTTAATATAAATTTTGAAAATGGAGGTCAAGGCCGTTTCAAAAAGTTATGTAATGTTGCGGGGACAAATATTGTGTTTAAGATGAAAACAGGCTCACTACTCCGGTCCCCGCAGTGCTGTAAATATATGAAAAAACAGTCACCAGATGGAGTCAACAGCAAACAATATAATAGTTCGGCCACCCACACCTCTACGATCGGACGGCGAGATATCGAACAGTCCCTCAATCGATCAATGTCAAGTCGTTGCTAAGATATTCGTCAAATTTGTAAGCAGACAGTCCAGTGTCGCCGCCTACATGCCCGCTTGCCGCGGTGACAACTTGTCCTCCGTCTTGAGGGGAACACCCAGTTCAGCCTACCCCATGCATAGTGTCAGGACAGCTGAAACGAATATCCTGACTTTAAGTTCTCTAAATTTTTACAAAAACAATCTTGTTTCCTTAACGTGCAGCACAAGTAGAGGTCACAGACCTTAGAGAACATATGTTTGGAAGAGATGTGCGGGGACGTCAGTGTTAATATGCGAAGTAGAAAACTTTTGATTATAAAGAGCCTTAATAAAGATTGAGACGTTATGCAGGAAGTTGGACATATATTGTTTGTGTTCATGGAAAAATGTCTACTTCTGAATCAGTGGTTCCCAGATGTCTCTCCATTTGTGACAGCGCTGAAGCAATATCTGAAAGGTCAAAATTTGTAAAATGCTGCGCCTATCAGTGAAACAATAGTCGAAAAGAAATACACTGACTTCTATGGTTATGGAATAGAAAAAACTGTAAGAATTACAGGGGACAGAGAAGCTTATCCGAACGTACGCACAATGCGTCTTACTCTCCGAGGGGACTAGGAAAAAAAGAATGCACAGTTTACGAGTTGTGCGGGGACCCATTATCAATACCGACTGTTTAGTAAATCACTTGGAATATATTCCGATCGCTCCTCATACTCAGAAATAATTAGGAACCTCATGTTGACAAAAGGCAGTGCAGTATCTCTTCGAGCAACAAACGCCTTTCTCGAATACAGCACTTGAATATGCAGTCCAAGCTTGACAGCACTTATATAGAGACCAGCTTCGCTGCATTTCGAGAACGAATAATTGTGAAGCGGATTCATAAGAAGGGGAGGGGGGGGG